AAAATTGAAAGCGCCTTCATATCTCGATATAAAAAAGCAAAGAAACAAAAGACAGGTTACAGCATGTCTCCTCAAAAACCATGCAACATTTGTTTTTTTTTATACAAGTAGCTTACGACTTATTTGAAATCGCCCTGAATAATAATTGTTTAAATCTCGTTTAAAGAAATTGAGATATTGTCAATACGAACAGTGGGGTTTAATAAAAACTTTGTTTAACAGGAGGAAATATTTACAGCGGTCCAAACGCAATCACCGGTGTCACGCAACGTGAATAATAATGCAGGTACGCGGACAACGACGTGCTTTCTGTATGCGTTCGTTACTGTTCAATGTTACAATGGGGCGAGTCTTCGGCGAAAATAAACCACTGGACTCGCGTGAAACGCGAAATACGGGTGGCTCCTATATTTTCCAATCTACCCTCGCGGATGCTATGCCAAGTAATTTCTGATTGGACTTCGACAATTCCTAGGTGTGTTCTTCACGTAATGAAGGTACAACATGCTATACCTGCAGACTGGCCAGTATATACGAAAGGTCGTGAACCCTGCAGCATTTCAAAATGTCTGCTCGAGATTTAAGTTGAATAATTAGGATTATATGTGCTTATGCAGTGTTTCAGAAAAAGTGTTAGAGCTGAAAAGGGGTGATTATGGAGATGTCCCTGAACAACAATTTCCTTTGGCAAAATGTAAAGTGAGGCATGGTTTTTGAATTATTAACGAAGAATACTGATCAATGAGAGCACGAATAGATCAGCCAAAGGAAACTGTTGTTCAGAAACATCTCCAGAGTCACCTCTTTTCGGCTCTGTCATTTTTTCTGGGACACCCTGTATATAAATGTGTACTTCGTCTCATCGCGTTTTAATTTTGAATTGGCGTCGAGCTGGGGATGATTATAATAAAATTTCTGCAAATTTTGCATAGGCGAGCGTAATGCAATCCGATTAAACAATGTAGCTGCCCGAATCAGTGCGCGTATTATAGGATGAGATGAGACTGTTCCATTGTTGCAAGGCGGTTGCGACGAACTCGAATTTCCAGGGGAAACATTTCGTCGCGGAATTAACTGGAATCCGCGTATTTAGCGACGACGCAACGCGACGTTATTAACAGAAGAAACTTTATGCGAGAAATGGAAATTAATTAGATGACCAGGTTGTATAGATAAATGCGTGTTCAGAGGTTACACAAGATTCCACGGTCAGGAATTATTAATTGTAACGAGCAATTTAATGAGTTATTGGCATGCGTGCGAGGACGCAGTTATTGTCACTAATTCCGCAAAGGGAGATACCGCAAGTGTGTCGAATAAATAGAATTATCCTAATTTTCAATCAAATTGTGTACATTGCTTTTAACATATGTATGTACATACAATTATAAGAAATGCATACATATCTTCTGTCAGATGACAACAAAACAATCAATAAATGTAACTATTTTTCTATAAAGAATTGCCACATATCTTTAACGACGTTATTAATAATACTTATACAATTTCTTAGGTTCTCTCACAGTCCTTTGATAGAGTAAATAGTATAGTTCAAATTCTGTTCACAATTTCTACTCATTGGCTTTTCTTCTAGGATTCCATATGCAATCTTAAGCCACCTGAGTAGAAATTATCACGCGCACAGGTATCGGGACATTTACTATAGAGCATTTAAGAACCAAATGTTCTTAGTCCTTTAATATGGAATTTCAGGAGCAATTAAACTATCCCTTCGCATATGCTCGGCTGTCTTGTAATGATGCCTTTCGCAAAATTCTTCAATCCTCTGACAGGCCTCTTTTATCATGTCCACAGGCACCGTGATGACCAATCTCATGTACGATGGATAATCGAAACACTGGAGACAGAGTTGATGGAGCGTGATATCGACGAGAGTATCGTAGGTGGAGTAAATACTCGATTAATGCGGCTTACCTGGCCCGGGAGGCAAAATACGGATTCCTCCATTAACAACCGTTGCACGAATTCCAGGTCGGAATTAAATTCCGGAAAACAAGCTAAATCTAAGTAGACCTGGAAACCGATAGGATAATTTATAGCCGGTTAATGGCGGTGGACCGCTCTGAAAGTTCACCAGACCAGAATATCATTTCGCTTAAATTTCTATGAACCGTTAAATAAAAACAATGACAAAGCATTCGAATTTTAACAATTATTAGGTATTAAATTAATAAAACGCTATGCGATATTTTAAAAATTTTTCGAGACTGTTAAAAGAGTTATTACACCTTGAATTGTTATGTTGAATGGCGAAATTCTAATTTCATTTATGATAAAATATACATACAATAATAAGAGAACTTTGTGTTATTGTTGAATGTTTTAAACTTGAAATAATACCAACTTTGAGATTATTATTTAACCCATTTTCATTATAACTTCATACATATATGCGCGGAATTTTCCTGCCCATTATCACCGAAGTGCAGATATGAGCGCTTTTGGTGACATGGATCAATTTTCCACTTTTCCGAATGGTGCAAATGAGTTAAAATACACAATAAAAAGTAAGCAAAGATAAAAAATTATAGGATTTGACAATGTAGACAATTGCAAATCAGACACAATCCTGTCAGAAAGTGTCAAAACCATGTATTAAAATATTATAAATTATAGGACACGTCCCAATTTGTATTCACGTCATAATTTCTACTCACTCACGTAATATCACATATAAAATTACAGAAAAAAAGTCAGTGAGTAAAAATTGCGACGTGAACAGAAATTGAAATATCTACTAGATACGTTATAAATTGTCTGTGACTTAAAAACGTCGGACTTTTTTATGAACCTTCCTTTTTTATGAACTTTCCTCTAAATATCATTTTTTCTAAAAGTTTATCACTTCAAATATTGAGCTTCAAATGTAGAACCTTTTTATCACAGTTCTTACGGTTCGTACGAGCTTAATTCTCTGTTTCGCAGCTCGTTACGCAAAATATACATATTTAACGCAGAATTGAATAGATTTTGCAACGTAGAAAATTACCAAACTGATGATTGGCATTGAATAGATTTGACAATGTAGAAGATTACCAGGCTGATGTATTATTCTATGTATAACAAAATTTGCTCCATTTCGTTTGATTTCATTTTGACATCAAACTTGAACAATTAATTTCAATAATAATTTTGATACACGTGCAAAGCCAGGCGTTTATTAGATAAGATATATTGTTAATTGATTATGCAGTTTGCTAATTGTTGTGTAAATTAATAATTACCATCATGTACATTGCACCGTCGGGCATTATGGGTTTTAATCCAGGAATCTTCATTATGCAATCGAACGCCAATAGCGAATGATTCTAGAAACGTATATCGAAATGTACAGTTGCCGTACTGTCAAAAAATAAATCGTTGAATTCGTGCTTACGTGCAACGTGGTCATAACGTCATCGAAGAATGCTTGTGGGGTGTTCTTCAGAATTGCAGGCAAAGCACCTTGAATCAGTGTGTTGCTGCCAATAATCCTTTGACTTAAACATTGAAGCGCTTTTCTTATCTACATAACACAAAATGTTGCCGAAATGGGAAACAATCAGTATAACAATTATTGTATTTTATAAAATTAATTTACATATCAATTAAAGATTATTAATTGAAGTCTGAAGACTTGCAGGTGAATTTACGAATGAATCTCTCGTTTCACGATCACTTGACTTATTTTTCGTTCTTTTTTCCATTTTCTTTTTCTTTTTATCGAACCGAATTGAGAACACAGCGAAGCGTGCCAAGAGGCGAACTTTAACGACGAGATAAAGTTTAATCAACGAAATTTAATCCAATCGCGGGGAGGCACGACGCGGAAGCGGGCATGATCGTTCTTGTTACGGAAACAATACGAACGGAGAAGCAATTATTTTCAAGCTGCTCCGTTGTATAGTATACACGGATATAGTATACATACATATATCCATCCCCGATGCAATTACCCACCTCTTTCTCCAACACATTCCGACGATCGTGAATGATTATCCAGCCCATGCGCCAGCCGGGCACTAAAAATCTGAAACACCCGTCGAAATTTCCATTCAGCTAAAATCATTCTCCCATTGTTGTCTTTACTCACGGTTAACGTCTTTTAAAACTGATACCGACTTTTTATCTCGATTGTGGGAACAGATAAACCCGATTGTATTTCTTTTTTTATATCCATCGCGCGAATTTAAACTAATAAAATTACCTTTGAAGAGTCGCGTTAAAAAATCGCGATAAAATTCATCAGCAAGAGTAAACCAGAGAAATTACGGTGGTAGCAACAATCAAGGTATAAAAGCTGAAGTTGGACGAGGAACAATTTCACGATTTATCAGTGGTACATAAAAACTTGGCTGGTTCTGCGATGGTAGAAATGAATTTCGCCAGTAAAAACAGAACGACGACTGTGCGTTGCGCGTAAACGTTGCAAAAATTCTCCGCGGAAGTATAATATTGATTTCGCTACGGTTGTGTAATTATGTATACAGAATGTAGCCGTAAACCGAGGCAGTAAAGCGGCCCCGTTGTAAAAGCCCCGCGTTTCAGTGAATGAAAATATCCGCCCACGCGCGAGGCTTTCAAAGTCTCTTTCTTTGCGTACGCACGTACCTTTTGGTCAGGCCGCTGCACGATAAAACGGGTACGTCCCTCGACAGGGACGCCAACGAATGAAACGTCTGCCCTGGGAACACCTGACGAAGAATCAGCAAAGATTTTATCATTTAGAAAATCACTAAAAAGAAACTTAAAACCGATACGGAGGGAATACCAGAAAATGAGGAAATTTTGTATTTTCCTTTAGTATCAAAGGTTGAAATACTCTTAATTATTC